AACTAAATAACTAAATAAAGTTAATTAATATACTACTACTATTATTAGTTAGTAACAATAATAGTTGTTACTTGTAGTTAGTTGTTTGTGTTGTAGTATATATATATATATATATATATATATATACACACACACACACACACACACACACACACAATTGCTTTCACTTACCTAAAAGGCTCCATGAATAATTAGAGGCTATAAAGTGAACAGTCATAAAGGTCTGAGCTTATTTGTTGTTTAAATGCTAAATATCTCAAATTGGTAGGGTTAGCTTAAACCAATGGAGATTTAATACATATTATATATATATATATATGCTGTAATAGCACAGGCAAATAGACTTATATGGGGAGACAAACCACACAAGTTACTGTTATTCTGACAGAAGATGATGAGTTAATACTCCCTGTCATTGAAACATTTGTAAATAGCTTGAAGAATACACCTGCACTTCACAAAAATCTTCAGTGTGGAGGTGAAGCATGTAAGAAAGAGTTAGTACCTGGTCCATGTGGTTAAATACTTCGATAGACCATGTTGTTCACCCTAGGACCTACAATTTCTCATTGATAATTAATCTTTCCTTTCTCATCCATTGCCTCTAGTGCAATCTCAAGAAGATAGTTTGCAAGTGAAGACTTATGACCATCTCCAAAGTAACCATCTTTGTTTGTCAGGCTTGCTCTAAGTCATCAAATTCTTCAAAGGCCAGCTGTAAACTATTCAGAGGAATAACTGCATGACCGTGCTTGCCCAAATGTACAGAACAAACTGCTGAAACATACTTGCAAGAATTGTTGATTATACCATGCATCAGTGAAGTCTATCACTATGCACAATCAAACATGTAGGTTTGATGGAGACCAGACCTCATCACAGAATGTATCATCATCCCTCACGTATGTCCACTAAGAGTTGTAGCTCACTGTCAATGAGAGATAATGTGTTATTAAGTACATGGAAAATCTTGACAATGAATGGGATACTGAAGATGACATTGATATCAGTGGTCTATAAAATTGCTGATGAAGATCATCGGTGTTGGGAACACATTTGATACAGTTGCAGGATATTATATCTACCTAAGCAGTAAAGCTGGAACTCATGGGTAGCAATACTACCCAAACCACTGTACCAAAACTCAGACCATTTTTGTCTGACCAATATACTCTATTAAATTTTTTCTATTGCTACCTGGACACAGTATGGTGTATAAAAAGGAACATGTACAAAAATTTACTTTAAAATTTACTGCAGTAGATGATTTTGGAATAGTTGGAAATAGAATAAAATACCTGGGGAAAAACTAATCCTATAAGACAATAATTTGTTTTGGTTTAGTACTTGTGGGATGTTTGGTTTTATGTAAACAAAATTCAATTAAGCGATGGGAAAAGTTGTAATCTTTGTCACTTCTAATGAAAGTGTTTTTTTAAATTAAATTGACTACTAAATTGAATGTATGTTTTGGTTGTGTCTATGTTAGAAGGGGAGGGGTCATTTGAAGAATGTTACACAATTTTTTGTGAGGGAAGAGCATTGGTTTCTGTAATCCAGTGTTACAAGGAGGTGAATGATTCTTGAAAATCATCAAAACATGAGTTTCATAATTTATGGACAGCCCCTTAAAAAATTTACTTCCCAATAGAAAAGCTAGTTATTTGTTACTATATTTGATTATTTCTATTACATGTTTTGCAATCTAACAAATATTATGAAAATGATAGACAAGCATATTCTAATTAAGCTACAAAGTTTCCACACTTTCAGCAAAGCTAGTAAACTCACTGACAGGCACTGTGTTTTGATTTTATCTTAAGTTACTCCTATTATTACACTAACAGAATGAAAAAGTATAGAAAACACTCACATCTAGCAGGTAAATGGGCAATAGATAAAACAAATTAGTTAAGAAGAGTGAAAGTATATTTAATATATTTAAAGAAGGAAGAGTAAAATAAAATAGACAGCAATAAGGAAAATCAGAAGTTAAATAACTTTCAAAACACTGAGACATGAAAGAAACTCATGATAGGACTGTTTGAATTCACCAACATTGGACTTAAAAACAAACTATCAGCAAACTTTTAAACCAGTCTGCATGATCTAATCTTAACCAATTGGGAAATCATAAGTCTCTAGACAGAAGAGATAATGTTTTATTCTTTACTCTCCTGTGCACGTTTTTAGGTCCAGAACTCCTGATGAAACCGAATAGCTGCTTTCATAATTGTAAAGAGAGAAAATAACTTACTAAAGCAAAAAGTTAATAGCACTTTTTTAATAATGCAGACTATCACACATTCATATCAAATATCACATAAAAACAGATATAACAAATTGGCATCTTTGTAAGATATCAATAATAGATAAAATAAGACATACACAGTTTTAAAGTGGTAGTTCCTAGGACTAATCATTCAGTTATAAGGAAAGCATTCTGTAGTGAAGAAACTTGCACAGTATAAATAATAGCAGGAAAACTTAGAAAGTCAAAAAAATTAAATAGACATTTTTACACCTTCAAGCACAGAATGTCTAGATTTTATTTCTCTGCCTTACTGTAGCACTACTTTGCAAATTCATGTTTTGAATTATTTTCCCTTTGTGCAATATATGGCCAAATGAGAAACATTTTAAATTTAACAAATTACACTAGCTATTTTGTTTGTTTATTTTGTTGCTGAGCACAAAGCTACACAATTGGCTACCTGTGCTGTGCAGGGGAGTATCCATACTTTTAAATACTATATGCACAAACTTCCTTAATGTATCAACAAAAACCATGACTTGGTTCAAAATATATTTAATTACAAAGATACTTTAGATATTCACACATGCATATAATGCGTATGCCTAGTTACACTGTTGCTATGTCCACCATGGATATTAAAACCTAGTTTTTAGTATCATAAAATTTCAGACTTACTGTTGAGCCACTAAAAGTCACTAAGTCTAGCTTAATAATTCAAATAAAACTCACACTGAAAAAG